AAGGTTCCATGCCCAGGCTGACAGAATAGTTGTAAAGGGTGGACAGAAGCTCGGCGTCAAGCATGGCGACGATGAGGAGAACAGTGTCGGCACCGTAGAGACGAGCCTCGTCAATCATGTAGGTGCTCAGGACAAAGTCTTTTCGGAGGATGGCGGGACGGTTAGGGAGGGTGGATACGGCATTTCGGACAGCGAGCATGTCCACCAGCGAACCCTTAAACCACTTGGGCTCGGTTAAAACAGAGATGACCGACGCCCCCGCCAACGCATACTTGAGCCCTTGCTCGGGCGCAGAAGCGTCCGGCGCGATGTCCCCCTTGGACGGGCTCGCGCGCTTGATCTCGGCCATGATGGCGGTATGCGGGGTGTCCTTGACTCGATCGTAAAAGCTGATCAGGGGCGGCGCGGTGCGGAGAGCGATAGATTTGGCGATATTCTCGGGAGTAGTAGCGAGGACGGCTTTAGCCTGCTCGACATCTTGAAGACGTTGAGCGTGGATCTTGTTGAGGATAGTAGGGAGGCTAGGCGCGCCGTTGGGAGGGGTCACTTTTTTCGGCTCGGCGGGCTCGGTGGAAGCCTCGCCTTCGGGCACGACTCCACACCAAGCATTCTCCCCACCCCACTTGCCTCCCTTGAGCTTCAAAAAGTTGGCCATCAATCCTTTTCCGCCCTCGCTCAAGCAACTCTCGGGGTGGTACTGGACCGCCTCGACAGTGTACACCCGGTGACGAACACCCATAATGACGCCGCTCTCTTTGCTGGTTGAGGTAACCTGAAGGCATTGGGGGATGGTGGAGATGGAGGCCGCAAGAGAGTGGTATCGGATGGAGGAGAGATCCTGGGGCAGGTCGTGGAAGCAGCCGATAGAGTCGTGGGTGACGAAGGACGATTTGCCATGCATGATTTCGCCGGCGTAACCAATCTATCTTTGCGTCAATCACTTTCTCTTCTGGCGGAGATTGAAAACTTACTTCACCACCAAGACAGTCAACGAGACATTCCAAGCCCATGCATACGCCCATGATAGGAAGCTTGCCCATACCCCACTGGATCACATCCCGAGAGACACCAGAATCGGTTCGAGGGTGACCAGGGCCGGGTGAGATGACTATCCGAGCAATCTGGTCTGTCTCGTACAAGTTCTGCGTGATCTCTGTTAGCTCTTGGTATCTGATAAGGACTTGGCAGACATTCGTCTTATTCAATGATCGCCACCGGCCGACCTACCTGAATCTCCTTGAGGGTGATCTTGTCATTCCTGACGACGTAGGGGTTACCACCGATGGCAGCGAGGTCTGCGTAGATGTTCCAGGTGAACGAGTCGTAGTTGTCAATCAGCAGCGTGAAGCCCATCCTGCCTTTTTGTGGATCGTTGAGAGTCATTTGAGAGTTGAAATGGACAAAGCGTGAAACCGTTTTCGACTCACCGCAGACTACGTTACGTAAGACCAGAAGTCAACCCTTTATTTGGTTCCGCCGCTGTAAACGCGTCGAGGGCCCGAGGGTTTACATTTCCCTCGCTACATTTTGTGACCACAACCGCCAGCTGCCACATCGCTCTATTCCCACATTGTTGATGTCTGCTGCGGATCTCATTCACGATCCCGGGTTTCAAAGTTAGCGGGCGAGGGCTACACCTTCAACGATAAGCGCTATATCTGGTGTGCAGACTGCCATTGTGGTGTCGCTTGCGCCAACAATCTGTCTGATCAACAATATCGCCTACACAAGCAGTTTTAAAACGCATGCGGCGAGTATGCGAGGCGAAAAGCAGCTTTGAAGGAAAGCTTGAGAGACAGATGGTAGAGGAGGCAGGCAGGCCGAAGAAGGAGGAGCAGAAGAAGGCATTTCGGTCCTTCTTCTTAGCCCCTCGTCAATCTAAGAGCGATACCAAAAGTCTTTCCTTTTTTTCCCACCCCTGGCCTGATTGCCTCTATCACGCAAGATGCTGCAGATGGCAGAAGCGCAGGTACCCCCCAGACTGGCGACAACAGACGGCGAGACAACGACAACGACGAAGGGCATGGGGCAGAAGGTGATGATGAAAGTGATAGAGACGCGAAGCCTCGTAAAGTAAGGGCATTTGGCTCCCGACTGAGATCAGGCTGACTGTACTTCCAGATGGCACACGTTACTCAAGACACCCCGACCTCGAGTCAGGCTCTCGATCAACCACCTCCCAACGTCCTATGCCTCTCAACCCTTCTCCACCCGCTTCACCCCCTGCCCAAAGGGTAGCAACTTTACACTCTATAACATGGGGCACCCTCGAGAAGGCGAACCAGTCAGCCGATCTGGATGGTGGTCTCTGGAGTTTCTTTGGTGACGCAGCGCAGTGAGGGATAAGCGACGCATGGCATATATGTAAGCTGCGAGCAGGGCAGGCAATCTAGAGGGCTGTGCAAGAGGTGAAGGACTTCCTCGTCAGCATCTTTTTCTTCTGTCGAGCAATGTGGTGGCGGAGCAGATACTCTTCAGCAGAGATCATTACATACGCATCCACCAACATCCCTTTGGTTCTTGCTATAAAGATTCACAAGATCCCACAACCCCGCTTGCCTTCCAATTAGTTCAATTAGTTCAACAAGTGTAAGTCAGATCGAAATCCATACTCGGCACCTCGGCCGAGTCGTCCACATAGTATGATACTGACCACACTGTAATCAGTAATCAGTCAGCGGCGCTCAATGGCACGTTGAAAGTGTGGAGGCACTCACGATTGTTGCTCTGTATCGTAAAGTCCCCGTATTTGCTAATGTCCACCGTCCCATTGAGACCTGTACTCGATATGGATACGTTCAAACACGGCAGATTGTCGAACCCATCCATCTGTTCTACTCATCAGTAACATATCCAAGCCTACCCACGGGCAACTCACGTTCCGTCCCTCCGCCCAAAACGGCGCCGGGATATCCCCAATCAGATACTGAAACACATCCGTCCCCTCCTGCGTCGTATTCGGATACGAAACCGACACATGCCAAGGGGTAACCGTCGCATTTATCGTGCTCGCAGTGGCGTACAGCTGGAAGAAGGAGACGTAAGGACGCGAAGGGAGGAGAGTGTCGCCGGATTTCCAGTGGGTGATCATGGGCGTGAACTGGGAGCCGCGATTGTAGAGCTCTGCAACCTGCAAAGAAAGTGATGAGCTTTGAGACTTTCCAATGATGGAGGAAGAATTGCGTACTTGTTGACCTCCGGCCATCACATTCTCGCTCACCCAAGCGGTATTCACCCGAGTAGTATCATTATCCAACGACACCCTGATCCTCCTTTCAAACAACCTATCCTCCGTCCCAACTCTATCCACAAGTTTCCTCACCGTGTTTTCTTTCAAAACTTGCTTTAAAGTAGACCCCACGAGCGCAAAAGGCGCGCCTTGGCGCAGGTCGTACATGGTCGACGCCATCCCAATTGGAGCGACGGGCGAGACCTCTCGGCCTAGGAGCATCCAGAAGAAGACGCTGATGATGCTGTCGTCGATAAGCATATTGCGGTGATAAATTCTGTCGTATGGGCCGACCATGTTTTTCAGGTTGCTAATGATCCGTTCAGCGAGGATGAAAAAGGAAAAGGTAGGTGCTCACTAGTTGTAGTGCTCAGCGATGTCATCCCAGAGGTGTTGTAGCATATATTTGCCCCACTTCGGAAGGGATGAATTCGAGGGAGAGTGCCGGACCCACTGGAGAAGGCCGAGGACGTCCTCGCCGTAATACGCTAGACCGTCCATTATCTCCGTATCTCTAGCGCATGGAAGGAATTGACTCACTAGGTACATTGTACTCTCCCAAAGTATTAAACCCCTCTGCCGTAAACAGATCATAGATATCCTTCCCATACTGATGTCCTGCACGGGTCAAGTTGGCATCGCCCACCCGGTTTCCCACCCACTCTACCACCAGCGCCCGCCCGATAGCTGGATTAGAGTATGCAGTGACGAGATTGTCGCCGTCGTAGCCGACTCGGGTCATGAGATGTCGAGCAGCGCGATATGTCGATTCGACCATGGAGGAGACAAGTTTCGAGGGGAGGAGATGCTCGAATTCTTCGATGATCTGGACGAATTGGATGCCTACAAAGTAGCTCCAATTTGGATCATACGTTTCCTACAGACATCTCAGTCGAAAGTCAAAGCCGGATGATGAACAATGGGCTCACGTATATCGCAGGCAGGTAGGTCTCGGCATTGGGATTTGGCAAGTCACTGGCGAGCTTGTAGTCCCAGTACCATGGTGTGTTGTTACTGGCCGTGTCGACGTATTGGAGAGATATGCTACCAGAATCAGAGTAAGTATGTGGCTCGCTGTTCAGGAATGAAACCAGCGCAGCTCACATATTCTCAATAGCCCTAATGGCATTAGAAACATCAGCCTCCTGGTTGCGATACAGCATTCCAGCAGCATGCCAGACAGTGAATCTAGAGCTCGTATGGCCCTGAGCACAAGTCAGCGTTGCTCTCTTCTCCGGCGACTAATCAAACTCACCCCATCATCATCCGCTTGGATCCAACCTGTAGAAGGCTCCCAAGACCAATCGTTCAGCTGCATTGCCACGTCAAAGACCTCTTGTTCGTATTGGCCGAGAGGAGATAGAGATGGGCGGCGGGCGGGATCGGCCTTTGCAGCTCGTAGTAGAGCGAGGGCGGCGAGAGGCAGCCCACGAATAATCATGCTGTATAGTAGAATGATGAGCAGATTCTCTTTTCCATACGATCATCTACTTACATTGTTGAGGGGGCATCGTCGCGCAGCCGCCTAGTGACTGCACTTTTGACCGGGCGCCAGGCTATACTCGTGAGGTCGCTCGGTCAGTCATGTGGTCGGTCGATGATTGCTAGCGTTGGTATAGCTGCATCCGGGAAATACACGGCTATTTCCTGGAGCTGATGCAAGGATGGAAAGATAAGCCGAGGGTTTAGAACGAGGCAAGCGCACCGGTAAGCCGAGCGGTAATTGTTGACCGTCCTCAATACAAACAAACAAAAGCGATTTTCATAAATTGGTCGATTATATCAGTTGGTTTAGATTGTGGACCTAATAATTCAAATGAGTCATTAGTCCAAGGTCGGCAGTTCGATCCTGTCATCGATCATATCTTTTTTGCTAATTTTTTGTTGTCTTCTTGCTTCAATCAGCTGCCAAGCTATTTGCCTCTCCACATAAAACCTCACATTTTTGCTCTAATAGAATACATGGGCGGAATATGTCACAAAGGGGGTATGATGTGTCGTCTCATCCAAAGACTACTTGGCGGGCTGACGCGATGGCAGTGACTTAAGGATAAAGCAAGCCATTAGACTGACTGGGCATCCAGGCTCTCAAGCATTGAGCCACTCCAATAGTTCTACACAGCTGTTTGTAACTAGTTGTATCATTGTAGTTGTTTAAACAACAAGTGGCCCTCTTGATACAGTCTTCGAATATATCGGTCATATTGAAAAAATGATTGCCCAAAAGCGCAAACTGGTCGATTATATCAGTTGGTTTAGATTGTGGACCTAATAATTCAAACGAGTCATTAGTCCAAGGTCGGCAGTTCGATCCTGTCATCGATCATTTTTTTTTGCAATCTCTTTTGACCTCATCAACGTGCTTCAGTCTGTCTTTTTGCTCAATAAGTCGACAGTAAGCTCTATTTGCAGCCTGCATACCAGATAGGCATGATAGCATGTTCGTATTCATCAAGCAACTTTTCTACCAGACACTTGTACAACTTACGAACGTAGATCTACCTCCAAATGTTACTCTACTACTGTATACAACTTCTACCGCGACACTGTATCATATTTGGGACAACTTGAGCATTCTCAGAAAGGAAAAGTACAGCTAAAGGCACCAAAAAAACAAAGCAAAAGTAAGAAAGACACGACAACGATCCTGGAGACACCAGATTTTTTCTTGACAAGACTTGGCTCGCTCTGGAACAAGACTTAGCCAACACACGCTTCTCGGAGCTACAGAATACAGTTCTAGTACCCCATAACCTCCCTCCCAGCTTTGCTAGGGATATCGCACTGTTCACCCCGAGCTTCCCTCACATACAACCCTTCCCCACCCTCACCCACACCAGGGGGCGGAAGCCCACTCTCAAACGCCTCCCTCTGCTTGATCACCCACTGCTCATTACCCCGCTTTTCAACAGGATGAACCGGCAAGAATACTTGTCCTGCCGGCTGGGTCGAGAGTGGGAGCGCAGTGTGGTGCAGGATGAGGTCGCCTGGAGCGAGTTGCGGAAGGGAGACTTCTGTGCCTGCTAGATGAGGATAGTCTGGCGCGGGGGAAGGAGTAGAGGTAGAGGCGGGGGAGAGGAGCCAATTGGAAGGTGCGAAGTAATCGGCCGAGTTGTAGAATGAGATCTTGGACTTGGCCGCTCGGAAAAGGGGGCGGAGGAGGGCGTACGTCGCGGCGTGGACGGTGGGTGGGAGGCGGGTCTCGGTAGCGCCCGTGATCACCGACCCTGGCAGGGTGGGGGTCAGAGCCAGGTGGGCGAGCAGGGCTCGAGGGGCGTCCCATGGATTGGAGGTCGAGGAAGGGGTGGTGCGGAGGGGGGCAATGCCTTCGCGGATGGTGTCGGCTTGAAGATAGATTTCTTCAGTGGGCAGAAGGGAGCGGGCGACTTGGGCGGTGGCGGAGATGATGGAAGGGTTTGCGCGGGCGGAGAGGAGGGCGGGATGCCAGTAGATGCCTGTTGTCGTGGTCAGCTTGGGGCTCAGATAGGAAAGGGGACAAAGCAACTCACTTCGTCCATCAACATCGTTGATTGCCTGTAAAGCTTGCTTTGCCCAGGCGACAGCTTCAGCATCGGGTACGACATCGCGTACGACGACAGCACCGGTATGGCGGATTGCGTCGACGATAGATTCGGAGGCAAGGTGGCTTGCGAGAGAATGGAATGCAATTTGAGGGACTTGGTTCTGCTCGCCCAGGTGAGTTTTGAATACCCTGATAACAGCCAAGGGAAGAGAAAAACTTACTCCGGAAGCCTTGACACTCTCCAACCCAGTCAAAGTCTCTGCCCAGAGCTGCTCGATCTCCGCTCTCTTTCCTTCATCTCTCAGCACTTCCTCCGCCCACTGGGTCCAGCCATCTGCTCTACCCTCTTGCTGCATGATTTCGTAATTGACCCTTGCCTTCAATGACCTGCCTCGGATTTCATGGGCGCCAAGAGGGAGGCCCTGGGGAGGGGAGGCAGAGTAAGAGTACGGGGGTCGGAGGGTGGAGGGAGTGGTGGGGTTGTGGGTGTGATGGTAGGGCGGGACAAGACGAGAGACAGCGGGGGCAGAGGTCGAGGAAGGAGGGTGTGAAGCGAGAGAAGTGAGCAGACGTCGGATAGTCATTTTCGCTGTTGCTGTGCCGGTGGACAAGATATATGAAAAGGTCGTGGGGCGAATTTTATATGCGTTGGTCCCTGGCGATAGAGGGCTTTTTCCGTTTGGCAAAATCCCTTTTGTTGTCGGTGGCAGTCGGGAGACGAGGAAAGAGGAACCAAAGCCGACAAGCTTTTTTTTGTTGCGGTGTCGTAAACGAGGAATCACCACTTGTGCGCTGCTTATCAGTGCATTTCTGGGCGATGCATGGGGTCGAGGTGGGGTATCTTACCTTTTTATGGTGTATCAGGGGCGCTGATGCAGAGCGACACGAGGATGTAGATGGGACGCAGGAACGAGGTCGGGAAGCCGGCGGCTGAAAAAGTGATCAGGGGCGGCGCTGTAGCGTGCTTCTGAATCAAAGGCAGGCCCAAGGGGGGGTCTTGCTTTTTGTACGGAAAGTTGGATTACGAGATGGAGAGGTGGAAGAGAGAAGGAGATGGAAATGCACCGGGCATGCCTCTCCCTTGCATCGTTGGCTGATGCATTCGACCGAAAAGTTGCTTGCCTAAGCGCGGCCTTGCCCGATGTCCCCGGCGATGGTGCAATTTTCCCGAGCTCCCATCTTCGAAATTCTGAACTCCTGCAGACCCGTCATTCAGCATGCCGAGGGCCCCGCCTTATCGTGCAGTCGTTTCCGAGAACCCGAACTGACCATCCTGAGCTGTACATATCAGAACCAGCCTCATGGGCCTTCAGAACCAGCCTCATGGGCCTTCAGAACCAGCCTCATAGGCCTTCAGCCTTCAGAAGCAATTATCTGGTCTGCGAATGTATGCAGGCGCGTCATACATGAAGCGTACTAGAAGCCAGGTATACCGCGTCGTGTACTGTACGATACCAATTATAGACCACTTTGATCGATGATCGCGAGACGGCAGGAGATGACGATATCTTCTGCTGATGGAACCCCAAAGGTGATTATTTGTCAATGAGCTGCGAACCAACCGTGTTCCAACGGGCCAACGGCCGAGCCCGATTGCCATGTATAAGCAAGCAGCACAAGCGCCACACACAAGAGTAAGCAGCAAGCAGCAAGACGATTTGACGATTGATATGTTGTTATCAGATAAGTCTGGGTCTTTTATGAAGGCACCAGCCCTTAGCATGAGTGCCTCTCTCGCCAAACGACCAGCGCGACCAGCAGCCAGCAGCGCCCAGAGCAAAGAATGGACGCCAGCTTGAATGTAGACTCCATTACAGCTTGTCGTTTTCTTTCATGGAAAGGAAATGTACCGTCCTGAGCAGCAAAAGGACCCACAGCCAGAGAGCAGGTAGGGCAGAATGAAGAGAGGAAACGTCTGGGAGGAGCTCCGTCACCCTCAAAACTGCCGGCCGCCGACCTGCTCTGCCTTCAATTCTCCGGTCCTCCCTCTGCTACAATTCTTCACATGGCTGATGTGCTGACCAAACAGTAATAGCTTCCATGGCAGCATCAGATGATATAGCAGATAAGACCCTGATAGTACTCAAAGCGTCTAAGAGAAAAGAAATGAGAACCGCTGTTTTGTCGCTTCATGGAATGAAGGCGGTGTCAAGGTTGAGAATCTTCCGATAGAAAGTAAGACAGACCAGAAAGGGATGATTAGAAGTAAACAAGGCAAATGGAAGAATGTGGAAAGCTTAGACAAATGTATAATGGAAATTATCAGCTAGAGCAACGAGGGGTGTAAGGGAAAATAAAAGCGGATGTGAGGTGGAAGGGGATGGAGACGATATGAATGTCAATAGTAGTAGTTACATGTATGATAGCGGGAGGGGTATGACCAAAAACGTAGATAGAGAAACGTTGGCCGAAAAGGGGAAAGGAGCAAGGACCGAAGCGCAGGAGGACGCGGCCGAGTGGTAGAGAGGACATGTTGATGATGAAGCGTGGAATGCGCTGGGAAGAGTGATGCGCCAGAGAAGGCGAGACTATAAGATCCCGGAATCTCGGAGAGCGTTTTGGAGGATGGTCTCTTTCACTGCCGCAAACACCAGGCGAATCTACAGCGGAGTTATATCAGCGCCTGATTTGAGCAGAAGGAGACGACGTACGTTTGATGTATCAGTAGCCTGCGTAAGATGCGGGTAGACTGATAACCTTGCCCGGTTGGTTTGCGTGAATCTCCAGAGGATATACTTGGCTGCCTTGTTGATATCGGCGCCACCTATACGCACGCTTGAGCATCCCGTCAAAGGTCAGATGGTCTGCCAACGTACCAGTGTATTCCGGAAAGTAGTTGACAAGAGGCACTTTCGGCAGCTTTTGCTTGAACAAGTCGATCTTGTTGAGGAAAAGGATGACGGATGTGCGGAGGAACCATCTAGAGTTGATGACGGATTCAAAGAGGACCAGAGATTCTTGCATTCGATTCTGCCAACCGCATTTCAGCGCAGCTCGAAAAGAGTAAGGAAGGGGGCTCACTTGTCCTGACTCTTCCAACAACACTTGGTCGTACTCTGACAGAGCCACACAGAAAATGATAGAGGTCACCGCTTCGAAACCTGACCCCTCGTCAGCTTCCCCGTCGCGGCACAAGCACACGATGATACGCACAATGGATCCACTTCTTCCTCTCACTCCTCTGCCCTCCAACATCAAACATGTGGATACTCAGCTGTCCCATGTTGAACCTCGTTTCACTGATACCTGTCGTCTTTGTCCTCGCCCGCAGGACATCCGCCTCGTCCGGTACATAGTCTGGCGCCGCAATCTTGCGGATGTTGGCGAAAAAGTAGGTGG